GAGCGGGTGGAGGGGGGGTGTCTCCGTGGGGTGCGCTGCTGCCGCGGGGTCCCGAGGGGAGGCGGAGTGGCACCCGGGGGAGGGGGAGCGTGGGGGGGGAGCCGCGGAGAGGTGCGGGGCATCCTTGGGCACCTTGGGCATCCCCCGGAGGGCTGGGGGAGACCTTTGCGGCACCTGGCGGGGTCGGGAGGGGAGGACCGCCACGCCGAAAGTGCTGGCCCACGGAGGGCGTCCCGTGGCGTGGGCAGGCGAGGCGTTGCACGCCCGCGGGAGATGTGCGTGTGCTCATAGAGCCGGGAAGGGAAACTTGTCGGTGTGCGGGACCGCCACAGCGCGGTTTTGTCCTGGTCCCTGGGAAGAGCCGGGATGCCCGGGACCGGTTCCTCCGCCCGTCACGGGCTGCGAGCCTGGGTCCCGTGCGTGTCCCGGGGGCTGATCCCCTCACGACAACCGGAGCCCCCTGTGCTCGGCGCCCCGCAGACCTGATGTCTCTATCAGCTTGCCACAGCGGCGGGCGAACCGGGGCGGGGGTTCCGGGGCGCGCTGCTGGGAGAGAAGTCCTTCCTCGGGAGAAGTCACCTCGAGTTACCCCTTTGAAATGCCGGGTGCCAGGGGGTGAACCCGTCTGGGGAGAAAGGATAAAACCCCCTCGGGTCGGTGGGTGGCCCCCGTAAGGTCTGAGCGCCACGGTGCTGCCACCGGCATGGGGAGGGGGTTTGTCTCGGAGGGCGGCATGAAGTTCTGGGTGTGCTCAGCAGAGCAAGCAGATGTGGGGTCAGCTCTCCCTGCACTGCCACAGCTCGTTTCCCAGGTCACGCTGTCTGCTTGCCTGTCCCAGGAAACTCTCCAAGCCCCTGCTGCCTTCCATGGATGGCATCCTGCAAAGTAGGAGCAGGTCACCACCTTTCCAAGCGGGCGGATGGCATTTGTTTGTGACTGAGGAGTTGGGATGGACCTGGCCTTTGCAGGAGAAATTACTCCTGCTGCACGGTGGAGTCCTGCTTGTGGCTCAGGGCCAAATGTGGAGAAGCAGTGCTGAGGTGGTGAGAGTTTGAGGCTGGTGTAACTTGGTTACTTGGTCACACCGACCCTGGGGGCAGTAGGGGTGTGGGTACACTGGGAGACGTGGCCAGGCTCAGCAGTGGGGCATGCTGGTGGCCTTTCTGTTGGCGTGAGTAGCAGTGAGGACTCCCTGCTCTCCTGCCTTTCACTTATTCATGAATCTGTGCAAGTCTTAACACATTTTCTGCCTTCAGCTCTGTCTCATCTCCACCTCTCTCTGCACCTTTCCACCCTGAAAATTCAGAGGTGGCTGGTCTCTAACCCCCTAAAAAAAGCAGAGCCGTGGTATGACAGCCTTGCCATGGGTGAGATGATGGCTCCAGGAAGTCCCTGGCAAGTGGCTTTCATCCCTGGTGCTCAGAACAGCCCTAAAGCATGGAAGGAGGAGACCTGCACAATCCCTGTTCAGGTTTCAATGGAAATCAGTGCAAAAATAAGACCTGCTCTGCTGCTGCCTCCCTTACAGCATCGGAAGCTGCAGAGATTGCTTCTCATCTGCCGCTGGATCCCTGACCCTGGCTGGGTGTGTGAGTTCAAACAGTGATAAGCAGCAATGTCCGATGACAGAACCTTAAGGTGCACCTGCTAACTAGTCTTTTAGTAATTTTTAACATGGCAGCGTTTAATGCACACATATGATGAAGAAGTTGAAGTAGCTCTGGCTGGTCTAACCCCTACCATATTTATTTCAGGGCCTTCTTCACTCATTACTGAGTTTTTTTCTGATTTTCAGCCTACTGTCTCATTGCACGTGAAACATTGCATGAGAGTCTCCTTCCCTGATGATATCAAAAACCCGTCTGGACACGTTCCTGTCCAGCCTGCTCTAGGTCAACCTGCTTTGGCAGGGCGGTTGGATTAGATGATCTCCAGAGGTCCCTTCCAACCCCTACAATTCTGTGATTCTGTGAAACACATTAAATGATTCTAGTCTCTTTTGGGCAGGACAGCCAGACCTATGAAGGATAAAACATTTGGGTTTATTTTCTGGGTAGGGAGCTCTCCTTCTTTAGTTTCAAGTCTTCTGGATGGTTTGTTCAACACCCCTTGTCTGACATCAGAATCCTCTGCGCTGGAAATAAGTGTTGCCTCATCAGCTCCGCGTTGTGACATCACAGGAATAATGAGCATTAATGGACCAGCACTGCGATTCGCATCACAGTGCTTTGGGCAGCAGCAACAGAAATATGAAAATAATTGCAGCCCTGTAAACTATATACATATTTAAACAGCGTAATTATTCTGGAGCAGCCCCACTACCAGAACTGGTGTGGAAACATCACGTAGGGAAATTCCTTCCCTTTTTCCCTGAAATGGCAGAACGAGAGCAGAATTTCTGGGTCCCTCCTTCTCGAGCCTCAGAGGGCTCTTAAAAAGACGCGAGTCCCAGAGGTCACCGAGTGTAACTCGCATGTAATTTTGCCTCCGTGGCTCTGTCCCCGGCTCCGGGGCCCGGGGGGGTGGTGAGGGGGAAGGCAGAGCCTTTTCCTCCCTTCGCCCAGCCCGTCCCTCGCCATCCCCTGCCGCCGGGGAACAAACTCACCCCTCGCCTCGTCCGAGGCGGTGCCAACCCTGCCAGCTCCCCTCTCTGCCCACTCTGCAGGCTAAAGGCTCTGGGGCTGCCAGATTTATAGATAATAAATATTGTTCCAGGGTCCCCTGCCTCCACCCACTCGTATGCACAGTCCTGCACCTGCACTTTGAAATTCTTAATTCTAACATAATGATAAATAGCCCTTGCGCTTTTCATTGGGCGTTGTTTTTTTTTCTTTTTTTTTTTTTTTTTCTTCCTTTTTTTTTTCTTTTTTAAATCTTGAACTGTCATTATTTTATAGTGGCTTTTTGTGTGCCTAAATTGTAGCCACACTCATGAGGTCTTTTGAAGTCTTTGTTCTTTTTTTTTCTTTTTCTTTTTCTTTTTCTTTTTTTTTTTTTTTAACTTTGGTATGCTTTTTTTTTTCCACCCCTTTTCTTTTTTAAAGGCCATTTACGTTATGATTAAATGCCGTCTTGGAAAAGCAGAACGAAAGTCGTTAATCTATATAGATCTTCAAAGAATCGATACATTCGGGACTTCTGTAGGATTTGTTACACTCCATTTTGTTACAGTAGGCAGCTCGTCTGGATTTGGGCACATGTGTTTCTCTCCCTCCCTTTGCCCTCCCCCTCCCCTTTCCAGCTTCCCCCCCAAGAGTGAAAATAAAGTAAAAGGTCTTTCATGGTAAACAAAACCAGCTTATTCTCCACATAGAACACATGAATAGCTGGAAAAAAAACTTACAATAAATGGTGCATTTTTTTCTCTGCTGGGTATAGCATTCAAGATCAGTCCAGTATTCAAGAAGCAGTCCATTTTTTGCTCAGCAAGAGAGTTTAGAAAAGAAGCGTGGGGTCTATTCAAGGATCTTTTC